CTCTTAGATTGATGTGAAATTACTCAGAGTTGGAGCCTTGGGTGGTGTGTTAACATCACAGGAGACCTGATATTGTTTGAATATCTCATTTTTGAAGTTAAATTAAGACAGGAACATGTTTCATTGCAGATACTGAAATCTGAAATACTTTTTTCCTGACGGCTTGGAGCAAATGAAGATGAAGCAGGCCAAGACATTAATGCAGAATAATCGACTACATATGTCTGTAAACATGTTCTGTTAGGTTGCTATGAAACTTTTTATTCTTGGAGGATGAGAAGATGACTGTAAGACTGCCTGAAAGCTGTTGCCCCTTAGACATGGGGTCAGTGGGAATTTGAACATTTGTGGGGTACTTAACTCTTTGCTCAGAAAAATCAGAATGATAAATCCTTTTTGATTTAAGTAAAAATAAATCAGGGGAGGATGAAGTAATTCTTTAAAAGTTGCTTTTAGTAAAATATTGCTTTTTCCTTAATAATCTCAGAATGATATGGGGGTGGAAGGGACCTCTGGAGATCATCCAGTCCAACCCCCTGCCAAAGCAGGGTCACCCAGAGCAGGTCCCACAGGAAGGTGTCCAGAGAAGGAGACTCCACCACCTCCCTGGGCAGCCTCTGCCAGGGCTCTGCCACCCTCACAGGAAAGAAGTTCCTCCTCATGTTTAGATGGAACTTCCCATGTTCAAGTTTGTGCCCATTCCTCTTGTCCTGTCCCTGGGCACCACTGAAAAAAGACTGGCCCCATCCTCCTGACACCCACCCTTTCAGTATTTATAGGTGTTGATCAGATCCCCCCTCAGCCTTCTCTTCTCCAGACTAACAAGACCCAAGTCCCTCACCCTCTGCTCATCAGAGAGGTGCTCCAGGTCTCTCATCATCTCTGTAGCCTCTGCTGTCCCCTCTCCAGCAGTTCCCTGTCCTTCTGGAACTGGGGAGCCCAGAACTGGACCCAGTGCTCCAGATGGGGCCTCCACAGGACAGTGACATTTACCTTATTAGACAACACCAAAGTGCTGCTGTCACGTGGAGTGACAATCAGCTGGTGGAGCTTGTGTGAGCGTGTTCCCAGCTTTGAGGGTGACACAGGTCATGGGAGAAGAGTATCTTTGAGGAAACATTTCTTCATGGGTCTGGAAATGAAATAGGGAAGGGCAAAGCATCTCTGGGTGGTTTGTCTGCTTGAGTCGGGATTCAGCGGGGTGAACGGTTTGCAAAGGATGGTGTGAACGGCTGTTTGTCAAAATTGACTTCCTTTTCATGTTTTGGGAAAAATGTGAAAAATAAAAAAATGTGAAATAAAGTAACTAAAAATACATAGGCCTAATGCCTTTACATTTTCAGTGTTTAAATAATTACACCAAAGTGCTGCTGTCACGTGGAGTGACAATCAGCTGGTGGAGCTTGTGTGAGCGTGTTCCCAGCTTTGAGGGTGACACAGGTCATGGGAGAAGAGTATCTTTGAGGAAACATTTCTTCATGGGTCTGGAAATGAAATAGGGAAGGGCAAAGCATCTCTGGGTGGTTTGTCTGCTTGAGTCGGGATTCAGCGGGGTGAACGGTTTGCAAAGGATGGTGTGAACGGCTGTTTGTCAAAATTGACTTCCTTTTCATGTTTTGGGAAAAATGTGAAAAATAAAAAAATGTGAAATAAAGTAACTAAAAATACATAGGCTTAATGCCTTTACATTTTCAGTGTTTAAAGCTTTTATATTTGTTTTAGAAATGATTTTCAATGAAGATAGGAGGTTGAATCCTTGCCATATGATTTCCAATATTTGGGGGAATGAATAAATTTATTTTATCCTAATGGTGTACCTTTTTCTCTTAAAAGGCTAGATTTTATTAAAGAAAAAAACAAAATCCCAGCCCTTGAAATTCTATCCAAGGCTTGTTTTCTTGTTTAATGAGCATTGAAGAGTTTTGGGTTTGCAAGGTTTGAAGAGCTTTAGGTTGTAAGAAGCAGCCGGTATTATTGCTGTACATGTAAAATCAAACCCATTCCTGAATAATGGATCGCATTCAGTGACGATGACCTGGCTCTTTCTTTGCTGTTTTAAGCCATGTTAAGTTTTTGTACTTCAGGATTTAATTCTCAAAGTCCAAATGGGCACTTTGAGCTTATCATGTTATAACTGTCATGTTGTATTTCACATTTGTTATATTGATAATTCATTTGTGTCATTGTACTCCACTGACAGCATCGTGCTGCCTCTAATTTAAAATATCAGTGGTATTTTGGCAGTTTTTTAGGATCTCTCTAATATTCTGAATTAGAGGGGCAAGCTGCTGTGGTGGGTCTAACATGCTTTTAAAGCCGTTGACCTATCACAACTTGATATTAAACAATTAATTTTCAGTTTTTTGTAAGTTGAAAGCTCATTTTACAGAATTGTTCAAATACACTTAAGTGTTTGTGTGATGATATAAAATTATTCATATAACAATGTTTAAGGCCAATTTATTGTACTCTGAAAAATCTGTTAATAAAGAATAAGATTAGGTGAGCTTGGTGTGATCTGACATCTGGGCAGTTCTGAACAATTTGGTTTTTTTTCTTATTCTGCTCAGGCATTAGTCTATTTATGCAGGCTACGTGGTTGAGTTTTAAACCAGATTTAACTGCGTTTCAGTAAATCAGTATGTGCTAAAATAGAATAGAAATTCACACAAAGAGAAGGCAGCCAATTGAATGTTTTGTTTTCAATATAACAGTGCTAAGTTTTAAAATTAAATTTAATGTTAATTTCCTTTTTTTTTTCTTTTTTCCTACAGTCTCTTCTATAGTTTATTTTTCCAGTGTTTTTTTTTTTTTTTTTTTTTTTGCTGGTCATGTCCTATATCAAATTATCATGTAAATAGTGAAATCTATTTGTCTGCCAATACACTTCTAGGAGGTAGGAAAGTGTAATGTGTCTTGGTGATGTTAACACATTTTTGGATTATTTTAATATGAGCTGTTTTAGATTAAAATTTAAATGCATGAGTGAAAGAGGAGGGAAATAAGATCTGTAATTAAAAAGGAGGGAGGGGGGAAGTTTGCCAACTGTTCATAGTTGTACAGAGATGGGTATGGGTGCAGGAGTGAGACCAGTTTCCACAGGACACCCTCTCTCAGTTCAAAAATAGTCTTGCCTTCTCATTATAGGAGTTCTTTCATCATTCCATGGCATCATTTTCCTTCTCCATCCTCAGGATTAATTTACTGATTTATTTACTCTGGAGAAATGTGACTAAATAGCCCTGACAGCCAAAGTTTCTTATTCTGCATGGGAGAAGCACGGGACTGGCGTGACTGAAACCTTCCCCTTCTGTCAGCTCTTCAGGGAAGAAGTGATTTCTCCATGAAGCTTTTGGAACTGATTTTTGTTAACTGATATCTGTCAGAAGGGAGTCTAACTTAATTACCAGGACAATTAACAACAAGTTATGTCTTCTAGAAGTATCTTCCCTGCTTCTGGGTTTCCCAGAGCGGTCTGTCTTTCTGTTGCTTGGAATGAGAAAAATCTTTCAGGGCTGGGGCTGGTTTTATGTGTGTGCCAGACGTATTGGTAGGAGAGAAATAGAGATATGCAGGCTAGTAACCTATATATATATGTAGTATTTTAGTATATATACATATATATACTAAAATGAATATCCAGTAAGAATAAATGGTAGCACTATGAAGTTACTGCCATTCTCCCTTCCTGTGCCATTTCTAGTCTGAACAAAATTTGAGCACAGTAGTTGTAGAAACGATTATTTTTCTTCCAGAAGATACGAAGCGAAGTACAGATGACCCACACCTGGAAATTCCTGACATCAGCTTGCTCAGATACCTTGGAAATAAGAGCTGGCAGGTTTTTCTGCTTGTAAAATGTTCTCTGAGGATTCAGAGTTATCAGGGTAGTGCTGGGTGTGTTTGAGATTCAGACAACAAACCCTCACTTTCTTTCAAAGCTATCCAATAATTTTGTTGATCTGGAATTCCGTTTTAATTACTGAGCTGGCTGTGGTGACAGTGCTGTGCTGGGTGATCTGTGGAGGTGAAAGATGTGTATTTAAAGGACTTGTAAAACGTGCCTCCCTTTAGTGCGTCGTACATACAGCTGTGGCTAATGGTTCTGCTCTTACACCTTTCTAAAACCTTCTTAATTTTCCTTTCTCTAGTTCATTAACTGGCAGCGACTGAAATTAGGAGTCTTAATAGTAATGACTTTCCCAATTATTAATTGATTAGTTCAGTCTTTCTTTTATTAGTTAGGTATTTGGTGGTCATTTAGTTTTGTTTAACCGATTTCCTAGCTGCTGATGTGCACCGCGCTCGCTTTTTTCCATCCAGTTTGAAGTCGTGGTGTATTCATGCTTGATGTGCTCCTGCACAAACCTACTGTCTGTTTCACGGAGCTCTAAAAGGAAAATTTAATAGCATAATTAATTTCTTGATCTGCTGACTGAGTACAATGCTGCTGGCAAATATTTGCAATATGTCTTATGGAAGATATTGTAACGGTGTTTCATCCTCCTTGTTTTTAACCCCATGAACTGAACAATTTTATCTTCACCCGTCTGTCAGAGTGATGCAGGTTGGAACCTCAAATTACTGAGGTGCAGAAATGGGCTAAAATGACCTTTTTGCACTCTTGCAGGGTAAGCCCAACCCCCGGAATATCTCGATTTCCAGTCTTGTGTCTTCCACAGCAGGAACAGCTTTGATTTTTTTCCTCTTACCTTGGAGACAACCCAAATTCTTTAGTAAGCACAGCCTTACCTTAGGAAAAGGGGGAAAAGACAGCATGTTTTCATACAGGTGTTCTTGTAGATCCATCTCCCCTTGAGTATGTTCAGTTTTTAATGCTTTAATGGGTGTTTATTGTTCATACACCTGAAAAATCCCATCTAAAGAGCCATGTGCTTATCTGCAGGTGATTTGTTTATAATTTAAGTCTTCCACTTTGAGCTGGTGTGTTAAAGGAATTTTTGTTGTTATTTGTTTTTGTTTTTGTTTTTTGTTCATAGGTAAAGACAGAGTTTTCAACACCCCCTTATGTGAACAAGGAATTGTTGGCTTTGGTATTGGAGTTGCTGTTGCAGGTGCTACAGCCATTGCAGAAATTCAGTTTGCAGATTACATTTTTCCAGCATTTGATCAGGTCAGTACCAATAAGTTTGAGAGAAGTAAAGAGAAATCTTGTGACTGTTTAAATTACACTGCTATTTGCCTTAATATTTGGTTTGAGTATGTAATTTTTACAAATATATCCACAGCTGTAATGTTTATGCGTGCTTTAAGTAAACAGGAAAGTACCAAGGCCAGTTTGAAGGCTCACTAAGTAATGGAAATCAAAGATGTGGTTTGGAGCAAATATCTCTTTGTTTGTTTTTATTTTTGGTTTTGTGGCTGCCTTGGCTTCAGCAGCTTTCAATTCCTCAGCTGCCCAACACCATCTCTCCCTTCTCTGTGCTGCTGTGGCCAGCCATGTAGGACAGCCTAGTGATTGGAACTGGGCTGATTGATGGTATGGGAATGGGGAAACTGGGTTCTGTGGCTGCTCCTGAGGTCTGGGCATCTCATCTGAGCACCCTAAATTATTGCCTCACTTGCCTTGGAGAGTGTTTGCCTTTCCACTGACTTAAAGGATTCCTTTGCTTCTAACTTGGTCCTCTCAATCCCATGTGTGGTGCAGGTGATGTAGTTACACCTTGTGTACGGTAGAGGCTTCGTGGCACGTAGCTAAAGGTGTTGGACTGAATATTATTTTTGTGTATAAATCTTCCCAGATTGTTAACGAAGCAGCAAAATACCGTTACCGCTCTGGAGACCTGTTTAATTGTGGAAACCTCACCATCAGAGCCCCCTGGGGATGTGTGGGACATGGTGCGCTCTATCACTCTCAAAGTCCAGAAGCTTTCTTTGCTCACTGTCCAGGAATAAAGGTATGGGAACTCTTACTTTTTTTGGTGTGTTTGATTGTTTTTTTAATGAACCTGACTAATAAGGAGTCTGGGTGCAGGCAGGGGAAGAAGAATGGAAGTGAAAGACCACAGCAAGAAATCTGAACATGTTAATTAAAAACTCTTTTAGAAGTTTCCGAGTTATAAAAGTTAAACAGTGTTAGGAGTTGAATAATTTATATCCATTATTAAAGCAATCTTTAATAGATAACAGCACTTTGTATTTATGGGCTTTTTGGAGGCATTCAGAAGCTGCCTGCACGTGGTCCTGGGCAGCCAGCTCTAGGTGGCCCTGCTCGAGCAGGAGGTTGGTTCAGATGACCTCTGGAGGTTCCTCCCTCCTCAACTGTGCTGTGATTCTCTGAATGATAACTTTAGGGAAGTTTTCTGTTGGAGACGGTGGCATCCCTTGAAGCTAAGATTCCTAGTATTTAGATGGAAAACTTTCCTGGAGAAGAGGGAGGGGCAGGATATGGTTATCTCAGGTTAATAAAGCCCCCTTTGTCAGCTCTCCATTGGTTTCTGAGTACAGAAACACAAGGTAACATATGATTAAGCTACTGATGCCAGGTCTAGCTAATCTGTGCTGATCTTGTTGGTCAATCTCAAATCTTTATACAGAACCAAGAGCTGAGATTTAGTGGTCTACAGATTAAAACTCTTTCTCATTCATGGCAACCTACTGCTACTGTGCTTCATCTTCTGAATAAGTTAGCAAGTCAGGATTGTGTTTTAGCACTCCAGATACTTCAATTTCTTTTCTCTCATCTCTGATCTTTCCTCCTTTTGTTATTTCACATTCATTCAGTTTTCCTTGAGTAAGGTGCTAAAATAAGCTACTACCACTAACAGCTCTCACCTCAGTTAAGGGTAAAGAGCACCTTAAATTTTGTGGAACTGGTGGAACAATACACTAGTTTTTGATGCACGGAGAAGTATTTTAGACTATCTTTTGAATTTAGTATCTTTGTGAAAATAATGTTGTTCCTTTAACATTTTTTTGCATTGCTGTAGTTAATAATGCTTAAGGCTTTATCTTCTGATACACTAGTTTTTGATGCACAGAGAAGTATTTTAGACCATCTTTTGAATTTAGTATCTTTGTGAAAACAATGTTGTTCCTTTAACATTTTTTGCATTGATGTAGTTAATAATGCTTAAGGCTTTATCTTCAAGGTTGAAGGTCTTATTTTTGAGTGAACCCAAACCCAGCCTTTGACATACAAATCCAGAAATGAAAATGAACTTCTGGTTCAGATGCATTTGAAAAATTGCCATTTCTATGCATATTTTCTCCAAGTTATGGGAGGAAAGGCCCTGTATTACAAGGTGGGAAGGGTAGGATTGATCTTTGGGGAGAATGGTTTTCAAAACTGCCCTCTCATTAAACTCTGTGGCAGGTTCCTGACTTCAGATTTTTATTTTGGTTTTTTTTTCTGAAGTGAGAGGTGAGGTTTGGGTTCCCCCAAGCAGAAGGGAGTTTGCGGGGCTTGGGCTGTGCAGAGGAAAAACTGTAGTCATTAGTGCTTAAGACAAGGCTTGTTGGGTTGATGAGGACATTGCTGGATGGTTGTATCTTTTGTCTGCTGTTGCGATGATGTACGTCGTAAGGGATCAGACTGTTTTCCAAAATGCCTGTACTCACTCTATTGCATTGTAAGGCTGCTACAGGATATTTGCTGTCGCTGGAAGCTTTCCTTTCATTTCCAGCCTCAATTTGTCCCCGACTGACTTGTATATTTAACTTATCTGTCCTTCATCTTCACTTTCATATGCAAACAGAGCAATTGTTTTCCCATTAGTCTTTGTTGTCTCAGACTAAACAAATCAAACTATCACAGAGATGTTAAGAATTTCTGAAGCTCTTTTTGGCACCTGTTCCATTTATTTTCTTTCAAAACAGTTGCTATAGTCGTGAAGTATTCCAGCTGAGTGCCTAGCACTGATTTTTGCAATAGCACTAACACTACCTTGGTTGTATTAGTGTGCTTTTTAGGGCTGTACTGCATAGTGTCCTGGTCACCCTTGGAGCAGATAATAAATTCGGATCTGAATTTATATTTATTCTAAATATATGTTTATGAATATACATTTATCCTACATTTATAACAACAATGTAGTTCTTAAATGCGTGACTTCTCAGTATGTATTGGTCATGTCCCCAAGGTGAACTAGGTCTTTTTGTGTGACTTCTCAATATGTATTGGTCAGTTTCTTTTTGTCAATCATGTCCCCAAGGTGAACTAGGTCTTTTTGGTATCATCCTCTCTAGTGACAAGTGACTCTCAGCTTTTGAATAGGTTTCATTACCACGTCCTGCCTTAACATTGTAAATGAATACGGTAAATAAAATCCTAAAAATGATCCCTAGGGAGCTGTGCTAGTAACATCCATCAGTTGGGTAATTTCCCATGTGTCTGTTGCCAAATGCTTCGGTGAAATATTAATAGAGTACTTCTCCCTTGTTTAGAAAAATCGCTTGTCAAGTTAATTTGATGTGATAGCAGACTTAGGTTGTGTTTTGATTCTTTTCTGTTACTTTTATATAATTAAATGTTCTTACTCTCAAAAATATTTTGAAGCCTTGGAAACTCCTGGAAGGCAGTAAGTTAACATGTCTGTAATTGCATGGATTTTTAAATTATTTTATTTTTTTTTTTTAAACAAGAGCTACAACTAATGTTTTCAGTCGGAAGGTGCCACTTCTAACTTTGCAGCTATAAAAATGTTTGCCAGTAGACTTCACAAGGCATGTGCCAGCTCTTTGAGATTTCTGGGATGTAAATTAGCTGATCCTTCTCATTTGAGGCAATTGAGCTCTCAGGTTCTATTTTCATTTAAACTGTGATAATTTTCTGTTCATAATCAACAGTTTCTTAGATCATCCAAAATTAGCTTTTCTATGATAATGTGGTAATTTTCTGTTCATAATCAACGGTTTCTTAGATCATCCAAAATTAGCTTTTCTGTTGGCAAATCAATTCTACTTTTTCCTTCCAAGTATTCAGATTACATCTGGAGGCCTTACCTAGTTTTCCTTTCCTTGATAATAGTTACAGGTATTTTTCGGTATTTGTTCATCTTCAGAACAAATTTCAGGCTTCCACCATAAGCAAAGGAAGTAAACTTTAAATAACTATTTCTTTTTTTAGTGTTCAAAACTTACTGGACTAAGTCTGAACACCACCTAGGCCTGCTCTGGCAGATCTGAGGATCACTTAGCTGAATTTTTTTGTCATACATCTGCATTAATTTTACTAAACTAACATTTAATTATTTATTCTTACTATTTATTTATTCATTTATTTATTTATTTTACCTGGCTGACTTTCTTTTGTTCCTTCTACCTCAAAACGTTATTAAGATGTTAGTTCTACCTTATTGGAAGAGAGTCCATTATTATTTAAGTTATGGGATAGAGGGGAAGTAATCAAGCCTCGTTAAAGAACAAAATAAAATCCATTTGGAATATGTTAGTAATATGGCACTGATGTTAATTCCTTTTGTAAGAACTGCTCAATCTGTATGCAGTTTTATTTAAAGGAAATAATTGCTTGGGGTTTTCATATTAATTGAGGAAGCTTGTAGCAGAATTGCAGTTTAAATAAACTGTTTAAAAAATATTTTTACAGGTTGTTATTCCAAGGAGTCCTCTTCAGGCCAAAGGACTGCTGCTGTCGTGCATAGAGGATAAAAATCCATGCATATTCTTTGAACCTAAAATACTTTACAGAGCTGCAGGTAAAGAATAAAGTAACAGGGTTTTTTTTTAATCACATAATTGTGTTAGTCACAGCTGATCAATTCTGTAGCAGAAGTCTTGACTTGGACTTGTTTTGTCTCTAGCTGTGTTTGGGGGCTATGCTTGTAGGGGAATTGTGAAAACTAAGTAAAAACTCTAAATCTGGCTGCGATAGATAAGCATTTACAGTTTGATTCCTACTTAGTCAAGTCTGGAAGCAGAATGCTTTGAACAGTCTTGGGTTTAAAAAAAAAAAAAGTAGACCTAAGCAGCATTATCCTTTATCAAATTGCAATATAAATATAAAAATAAGTTTCCAGATCAGTTTTTATTTTTCTGAGAGAACTGAACATCAGTATATTCACAAAGTTAAAACTTTGTTGAAGTGCCTAATTTCTAAAAATCCTGAAAATCTATCCCATTAGATTTGAGTCTTTTCTGGAAGGAAGTGTGATTGCCATCACTCACCTTCAGTGTTTCTGTGTCATTTAGCTTTATATACCAGATAGGCTTGAATCTGTCAATCCAATTTATACATTGACTTTGTGTGTGGACTCAAGTTGAAGGACAAAATGTATTTTTCTTTGGACCTTTTAACAGCACTTTTCTATCAGTAAAGTTGTTGGTAAATTTTTTGTTGGTAAATTTATCCTCTTCCTAGCGAAGAGAATCAACGAATAACAGGGGAAAGATTTAGAAAGTACAACATCAGAGCTACAAAGAAATAGCAGAATAACTCAGGAACAAAATTAGTTTTCTTTATTTCCGTGATGCTGGCGAAGGCATTGAATAATGAAATTATATTGTCCCTACCATAACGTTTTTGTATTCTAGCTTCATGTGAATAGAGGTGTTTGTTGCAGAGAACTTCATGACTGATGTTCCAGTGGGTGTGTAGGGACTTCATTGAAAAATTAAGGTGTCAAAGATGATAATGGGAAGTAGTGTTTTCTCTCTGTAAAATTAATGTAGGCATTTGAGCTTCATCATTCTCCTCTAATGGAATTTTCTTTCTCCCTATGAGGCCTCTAAATAGCTATCCATGATATTTTGTTCAAAGTTGTTAATATCTTTGAAATTTCAGTTGAAAATAGGCTGTAGATGGGGTAGTCTTTAAAACACAGGGTATCTGTCCTTGTCTGTGTGGATTGAAGATATTAGTACTTTGATTGTTTTAAATAAAGTAAAACAAACCAAAACAAAAAATCACAAAAACCCCAGCCAACTACTCTCCAGCCAAACAAAAAACTGTGCCCTCTGCCTCTGCCCCCAAGTTGTTGGAAATCGTCTAATGGATGGTAGGAATGGATGACAATTTATACCTAGCTTAGGATGTATAACCTTGGGATTTTGCGTGTGATGTGTACCTCCAAGGAGCTATATAGGTCCACCAATTGCTTTTATGGATTTATTTATATTATTGATGGTAAGGCAGGTTTTTTAAGATTTAAGCATATTTTTTCATAACAATAAAGACATTGCACAAAAATTAAAAAAAAAATATCTTAAGGGTTTTGAAACATAAGTCTGATTTCCATGGTAAATCAGAGCTGAAACACAAAATATTCAGTGTGACTTGTCCCATGGATATTGTGATTGCTTGCTATTTTCTTGGAATAATGAATTTAGCTGGATGTCTTCCCAAATGAACGCAGATTTTCTTATTTAGATATGTTGTATGCTTATTCAGACATGAATAAGCCTAAAATTAGGCCTTAAATCTTCACCTGAGTCATCTCTAGGAGAAAGGTGGATATCAAAGTGGCATTGCCTGAGGTTCACCACATTCACACTGGGATGAACTGAGGAGGAAAGGCAGCTTCCAAAGTGAGGAACAGCTTTGCAAGAACATTTTGAAAACATTTTTGAGTACATTCAAAAAGTAACTCATGCTTTAGATAACCAAGAGCCCTTGTAACACCAGAAGGAGGGACTGGACTTCAAGCTACAATCTTAAGCTTTGCCTGGGTGTCTGTTAATAGTAAGTTCCCAAAATTACAGAAGAGAACTATCTATTTTGCTTGAAGGAAATACAGTTGATAAACTTCATATTCTGCATTAGCTCTGATGTGCAACCACTTTGAAATAGTCCTTATATACAGATATATGAACTCTGGAGTGGAGGACCTTGGCCAGTCCAGCAGCCCTGCAGGGCTCCTGCAGGAGACAGAACAGCCTTTTACTCTCCTCCCTCCAGTAGCTGGTGTTTGGGACACACTGGTCCCATCCCAGCATCTGGTGGCCAAGACCCCTGCTTGCTCCTGTAGCTCACAGCACAGGCCCAGGGCATCTGCAGCCCGGTTTGTCTCCTGTTGTAGGCCCAGTGGCTTGTCTTCTCATGCTGGGGTCTCCCCAGTACCTGGCACTTAATCCTTACATCACAGGACGGGATTTCAAAAGAAGCTGGGACTGACCACCATGACAGGGCTCAGTCCAACAAACACACTGACTGGCCCTGTTTTATGTGCAACTGGCCCCTTCTCTACCCCCTTCTATTTCCCACTTTGTTCCTCCCTAACCCCCTTCAGTTTCAGATGCCCTGAACCTTCAGGTCTGCGTGTTTATCAGTTGCAAAGTCTTGGTTTGCCCCATAATTTCTTGATAGCCTTTCATTCAGTGCTCCTGCCCAGGTTCGTTTCTTGTCTTGGACTGTTATTTGTCTTCAGGTTTGTGTCTCTGTACATTTTGTTTATAACTTCTCCTTTTTCTTTATCATCCCATGTGACAAGGTACTCCATCAGATGATCTTACTCCCACATTCACAGACTCACAGAATAATTTGGGGTTGGTAGGGACCTCTGGAGATCATCTAGTCCAACCCCCTGCCAGAGCAGGGGCACCCAGAGCAGGTCCCACAGGAACATGTCCAGGCAGGTTTTGAATGTCTCCAGAGAAGGAGACTCCACCCCCTCTCTGGGCAGCCTCTGCCAGGGCTCTGCCACCCTCACAGCAAAGAAGTTCCTCCTCATGTTTAGATGGAACTTCCCATGTTCAAGTTTGTGCCCGTTCCTTCTTGTCCTGTCCCTGGGCACCACTGAAAAAAGACTGGTCCCATCCTCCTGACACCCACCCTTGAAGAATTTATAGGCAATAAATGAGACTGAGCAGGTTTGCTTCTTGTTCCTGCCTCCCTCATCAGTTATTGTTTGGGTTTGTGTCCCTGCACCATCACAGAATGATATGGGGTTGGAAGGGACCTCTGGAGATCTAGTCCAGTCCCCCACCTTCTTCTTTATGGCTTCTTCCTCTTCCTATTATCCCCTTTTGCACTGAAAAGATCCTTGTCCAGACACCCGTGAGGGAGCAGATGCTCTCTCCTTCCACATAACCTTATGGCGGTCATCAGAAGTATTGTGTATGTTAATTTGCCTTGTATAAAATCAGAGAGGAACAGAGAAATGTAAGCATTTCTGGGTAAAAGTCCTGAGTTAAATATAAAACTGTGCATGTATAGAAAGAATTCTGTTGCTGGTTAACTTATGAGATTATAATATTATTGGAAGTGCCGTGGTGACGTCCCCCTAAATGTCAGAGATACTCAGAAAATATCTGAATTAAAGAGGAAAAGGAGGCTTTGATTTATAAAAAAGGAGCTAACAGCCTGTGCAGTGTCAAGAGCACATAATGATTATGAATCAAAGGAGAAGATGAGTCACCTTGACATTATCAGGTTTAGACATCTTGTGGAGAACCTACTCTGATGTTTTTTGACCTTTTCAGTTTCATTTAATTGTACTATATATGACATTGGTGGTGTAGAAATAAATACGACTTGCATCAGTGGTTGTTATAGAGACAAGCCAGGTAAAATGAGAAAACATGTGTTTTCTTTCTGCTCCTCAGACTGCTCTTTTCAAAAAAGCAACAGATGGTGCAGCCTCTTAAATTAACTTGTGATGGCCCTTTTACTCTGACAGTTACAAGTTTTTGTTAATTGCTTTATTTCAAATCTGTATGTGAAATCTGTGACTTTAAAATAGAATTTATTTTTATTTCCAGTAATAGATGAACGGGCTGCTTTGTGTATAAACATTGTGGTCCTGGTTTGCTTAATTCTTATGGAAGAATATGAATAGAATGATTTCATATGATGCTTCTCACTGTTGTTAGTGGAGGCAGGAGTTTTTTGCAAAGGCATTTGAATAAAATCCTGCCAAATCTGGACTGCGCTGTACATTTTTAACAAGCTAAATTTTGCATTTAAAATGTCAGGAATTCTAGATGGGGTCCATCCAGTGGACACCTTGTTGCAGAATGGTGCAGAATTTGTGTAATTGCATGATATATTTAATTTCCCTAAGTGGATAAGACCATTACATGGAGAAGAAGCTATTTTTGTATCACGTACACCTTCCTCTGGTCCATCCCACTGTCCCTCCAAACCTTTGTCACTCACATCCATTCCTTGGGTTTCCACTCCAAGGTCTGGTGGCGTCTTTATAAGGTCCTTGTCCTCCAGGTTTCATGTAGATTACAATCCCATGAAAAAGACAGTTATCAATGCCAATTCAGGATCTCTGTTTTCTTTTTCCTGAGGATTTACAGTGTGCAAAATCCATAGATGGCCTGTCTGCTTTACTGTGAACCAGTAACGTGCAGCGAGTAAGGGCTGGATGGGCCTTTCCCCTATTTCTTTTCCCACCCTATATTCCTTATTATTCAAATATCCAGGAAGACACTGATATTTTAATACATTAAAAATAATAGTTTGCAAAGAGATCTGATTTTGTGCTATGTTTAAAAGCACTTCGTGTTGAAAATTTTTTTTTTCTTTTTTTTCTTGTTTGACTGGACACGTGGTCTTGAATTATGCAAAAAAAAAAAAGAAGTTCCTGTTCTGTTTTTGGGAAGAATGATTTAGTTAATACGTGTCTCTCCTTTGTGCCTGTTCAGGTGAAGTGAGATATCTCTAATGTAAGCATAGGCAAAAAAACTTTTTTACTGTGAGGGTGATGAAACGCAGGAGCAGGTTGCCCAGGGAGGTGGTGGAGTCTCTGAGCATGGGACTACTCCTGGACGTGACCCTGAATGACCAGCTCTGGGTCACCTTGGGCTTGGACGAGGTGATCTTCAAAGGTCACTTCCTACCTCATCCATTCAGCGATTCTGTGGATTTTTTAGTATTTATGTATCATTACTGGCAAAAAGCATCTGCTCTAATTTAAAAAAAATAAAATAAAATTCACTATCTATTTTTATTGAAAAGTTACATTTGTAACTTGTAAGCCAGGAAAAAACCTGGGTCATTCTGCTTGTATTTGTTCTGCCCTACCAATGGAGGAGAAATGCCAAACACTTAATTTCTCCTGCTGGTGTCACTCACTTTGTGTAATTGCATGATATATTTAATTTCCCTAAGTGGATAAGACCATTACATGGAGAAGAAGCTATTTTTGTATCACGTACACCTTCCTCTGGTCCATCCCACTGTCCCTCCAAACCTTTGTCACTCACATCCATTCCTTGGGTTTCCACTCCAAGGTCTGGTGGCGTCTTTATAAGGTCCTTGTCCTCCAGGTTTCATGTAGATTACAATCCCATGAAAAAGACAGTTATCAATGCCAATTCAGGATCTCTGTTTTCTTTTTCCTGAGGATTTACAGTGTGCAAAATCCATAGATGGCCTGTCTGCTTTACTGTGAACCAGTAACGTGCAGCGAGTAAGGGCTGGATGGGCCTTTCCCCTATTTCTTTTCCCACCCTATATTCCTTATTATTCAAATATCCAGGAAGACACTGATATTTTAATACATTAAAAATAATAGTTTGCAAAGAGATCTGATTTTGTGCTATGTTTAAAAGCACTTCGTGTTGAAAATTTTTTTTTTCTTTTTTTTCTTGTTTGACTGGACACGTGGTCTTGAATTATGCAAAAAAAAAAAAGAAGTTCCTGTTCTGTTTTTGGGAAGAATGATTTAGTTAATACGTGTCTCTCCTTTGTGCCTGTTCAGGTGAAGTGAGATATCTCTAATGTAAGCATAGGCAAAAAAACTTTTTTACTGTGAGGGTGATGAAACGCAGGAGCAGGTTGCCCAGGGAGGTGGTGGAGTCTCTGAGCATGGGACTACTCCTGGACGTGACCCTGAATGACCAGCTCTGGGTCACCTTGGGCTTGGACGAGGTGATCTTCAAAGGTCACTTCCTACCTCATCCATTCAGCGATTCTGTGGATTTTTTAGTATTTATGTATCATTACTGGCAAAAAGCATCTGCTCTAATTTAAAAAAAATAAAATAAAATTCACTATCTATTTTTATTGAAAAGTTACATTTGTAACTTGTAAGCCAGGAAAAAACCTGGGTCATTCTGCTTGTATTTGTTCTGCCCTACCAATGGAGGAGAAATGCCAAACACTTAATTTCTCCTGCTGGTGTCACTCACTAGGATTCTTTATCATAAGTTCAAGAAGCAATTTTGTTCAGCAGGAACTCAGTAACTACTTTATGAACTATGAAGTATGTTAACAAAAATCATAGAGTGCCTTCTTTATAAATTGGTTTTGTTAATTTAGAAATAGTTGAGTAAGATTTATTTCTTTTCCCCCCTTATCACTGGAATTTATTTTAAGAAGTATTATTTGACTTGGCTGCTGCGTAGACAAGTGCACCTTTAGATCAAAAGAATATTTCTTTTAAAATATGATATATGAATTTCTTATGTCGCAGTTCTAATCATTAAACTGGTCAATGTATTGAATCACTGAAGCATTGATTCCAAACTGGTGCAACCAACCTAACGTGTTACCATCTGTAAATAGTAAACGGGTTGAGTGAAACCACCTCGAATATTTTAGAGAAGGCAAGATGTCTAATGTTTGTCTACTTCCTCTCATTGTGATGTATTTTTGGTGAACAGCTAATTTTTTTTTTTTCAGAGCAAAAATATTTAGAGTAGTTTAAAACTGCTAGAATCACCTTTTCTTGGTGGTACTTTCTGGATGGCTTCTGAAAACTTTTCCCCTTTATTTAGACATAAAACAGAGGAGCATCATTCTTGGGAGGGAGGCACCAGAAGGGTGCTGGCACAGCTTTTGCCTTTTGTCTGAGTATTAAAGTAGGATTTTAAGGCTCTCTTGGTGCTTATTAGAATTAACTGCAGCATTTCCTTGAGATTATTTTTCCTGGTTATAGCAGTGTCCATCTCCAGATCTGATGCTGATATATTGACTGGGACTATGTCAGGATTTACTGCTATCGTTGTTGTGTATATGTGTATCTCATTGCTGTGGTGTATAACATAAATTAAACACTACACTGAATGTGTTTTTAACAGCATAATAAAAATATTTTTAATTACAGCAAAATCTTTGAAATAAGTAATATTATATATGATTTTGGTCTATTGTTTTAGATGCATTAACACTGAAGAAAATGTTTAGTGTCTGTTTTTAGGGGTAATATTGAATAGTAAAGGAATCTAATGCTTATTTTTCCCTTTGTTTTGATTTATTCAGTGGAACAAGTGCCTGTGGAGCCCTACACCATTCCTCTGTCTCAAGCTGAGGTGCTGCAGACGGGCAGTGACGTGACACTGGTGGCTTGGGGCACTCAGGTCAGTATTTGTCATCCAGCAAAGCTTGGGCTGAGGGCTAGAACAGAGGAGAATAAGGACTAGAGGAGAGTAAGGACTAGAGTAGAATAATAGGGTTAGGTGATGTTTGCATAGTGCTCCTTTCAGTCTCAAATGCCAGAAAACAAACTATGTGCATCTTCTATTACTATATGCTTGAATAAATGATTGCCAGTGTTTGTGTTTATGAGAAACCTGTTTTTTATTGTGTAAGATTTTACTCATTTATGATTGAAACTGAATCTGGAAATGTGGAGGAGGTACCTGTGCAGGAGGGTAGTGATTTATCCGCGATTATGAAAGTGGTATATTTAAGAATGGGGCAGTGAGCTGCGACTCTGAGGAAGGAAAGGAGAGTTCAAAGATTATGCTGAAAGAAAAATCTGGATTTTTCCTGCAGGATTTTAACAAGTGCAGCCTGGGGTTTCCTTTACGCAGAGGGTTAAAATCCACTGAACATTTAATACAAATAGTTTTGTATTAAACTATTTGGTTCTGACAGTTTGCATGGTTTTGATTCTAATGGTTGTATTCCAAAGCTGTTCAAGGATATGACTGGATGCCCACCCAAATTAAGATGTTTAATTGATTCTGACAGTTTGCATGGTTTTGATTCTAATGGTTGTATTCCAAAGCTGTTCAAGGATATGACTGGATGCCCACCCAAATTAAGATGTTTAAATATTGAAAAATCTGGTAAAAAAAACCTCCACTGTTTGTTTTATAGGAAAGAAATTTGCATCTAGTTTGAAATTACCAGAAAAATCTTTTTATTGCCTTTAACATATAATTAAGAAATTGCTATTTTCCTGGCCTAATTATATCTGAGAAGCTTTCAGAGGAGAGAGTTTTATAGCTTTCATCACAAGTGTATTGAATTGATCTCTGGGGTTGTGGCTTTTGTTTTGTGTGTGTGGTTTTTTTTTTTTTTCTTTCCTTTATGTTTGAAATCTGTAATCTCCTCTTTGTCCTCAGACTACTTGATCTCCTCTATATCTATGGTTATTTCTATCAGTCTCTGATACTTTGCACTGATATTAAATATATCTTCATATCTTTAACAATATCTCAATAATTTGATATTAATATCAAATCTTTGATATCTTCAGTATCTTTAGTTGTGCTCCTTTCTCTGGCAGAAAACAGTTTCTAGAGTTCTGTGTGTTTCCTTTGGAAAGTGCAAATTTTTGCTCAGTTTGGATGAAATCTTAGTGTTTGCCATATTTCCCAAAATAGAATTGATAAAGCAATGGCTTGAAAGCTGGCAGTGGTGATTTAATAGTATCCTGAGTATCCTGAGTTTCCCCAGTAGGCAGTAGTACAGAGAGGACTTGGAGTGACATCCTTCAGGAAAACTGTCTTCTCTGGCAGAAAACAGTTTCTAGAGTTCTGTGTGTTTCCTTTGGAAAGTGCAAATTTTTGCTCAGTTTGGATGAAATCTTAGTGTTTGCCATATTTCCCAAAATAGAATTGATAAAGCAATGGCTTGAAAGCTGGCAGTGGTGATTTAATAGTATCCTGAGTATCCTGAGTTTCCCCAGTAGGCAGTAGTACAGAGAGGACTTGGAGTGACATCCTTCAGGAAAACTGTCCTTTGGAGCTTGGAAAACGTAGGCTGAGTGTTAAGACAGGCAAGTCTTTTGATGTGAATAGTAAGAGGACAGATGTGCAGCCCTAATCCAAGCAAACCCTGGGTTTTTGCTGTATAATGCAGCGTGGGGACAGATGCTCAGTGTGTACTCAGATTATTTCTCACTTGTACGTCAGAGAAAAGGGAAAAACATCCATCCCACGCGTCCTGTTGAAATTTCTCAAAGCCTGGTATTGCAGCCACAGATGTATTAGAAGTTTAAACAAAAACACTACAGCTATTTTTACTTTTTATTGTTACAACACTTTTATTGATTTACCTTTTAAAGTAGTGTTTAGCTGTTCATATTTGCATTATGTAGATGCACGTTTAAATCTTTAATCTTCTTGTTTCTGCATAGATTTTTGTTCTATGTGGAATTTAATACTGCTTTCTGACCTTCAGGCAACTAATACTGCCCGACTGTGTCCATATTATTAAATTCTGTTGCCTTCCAGACTGTGATGACCTCATCCAAATTGCTTATTGGGGATGGTCTTTGGCCTCCAATCCCTTAATCTCCATCGAGCAACTTCTAGGCACAGGTATCTGCCTCAGTCCAAACCTGTGTTATGAAACATTCTAGCACAAAGGAAAACATCAGAGTTTATTGACATATCAAGAAATTCTTTTTTACCCTTATATCCACTGAGCAAATAGTTTTTGCAGAAATACTTCTGGAGGACAATCTGAGTTGTTGTCATTGCAGTTATTTTCCCTGTGAGAACATTTGCTTCTTAATGTTTGTTAGCCAAAGGTTACAATATGTTTTGCTTAAAAGTGTTGTATAACATCATGTCAAAATACAGTTTTGAATGTATTACTTTCTTTTCTGGTCATAACATACCTTCTGGAGAGGATGCTAACAGATGTGGATTGTTTTACATCTGCTTTGTTGCACTTACATATGCTGCTAAATATATTCCTTTCCCAGTGTATTCTAATTCAGTACAAGCCTCTTGCTAGAGGGGAATACTTTTTCAATTTAGTAAAAAGTTAATTATAATAATGAGATAATGCAGCATTTGTAATGTTGATATTAAACTATGCTGGAAGACTAGTGAATGGTCAGATTGTTATATCAGTGCCAATATGCTTAATAGTGGGGGTCAGGACTGGATGTTTCCAGGTAATTTTTTCTGTGGTACTTACTATCATTAGATAATGCTTTGGAGACAATCACTTGGTAATTTATTGCACTTTCTGTCAATTGTAGTAAGTGTAGTTACTAGGGCTGGTTTTGAATGTACATAGTGCTTCTTGTAGAATTTCATGTAACTGCTGCATCATGATACATTACTCGGATATATTTGGGTCTTAGCTTAATTATAGTCTTTAAAAATCCCTTATCCTAAACCCCAAACTGACTGAAAATATAAAATACTGAGTCCTGATACTCTTCACTGAAAGATACTTTCCTAGAAAGCGACAGGTTTGTTTTTAGCAATTCTTTGTTGAAGTTAGATTGAAGTGGTGCTCTAAATACTATAATGGAAGTAAATAAGAAGAATGAACTGAGTAATAAATGCTGATTAGATTACCGAGGAAACAGGTTTCTCCTAAACATGCAGGTAATACGTTAAATCACTGCTCTTATTCAGTGTGCATAATTTAAAACATCTTAAACAGAAATTAAATGTTTCCCTGGTGATAATGCATTGCCTTTGCAGGTACATGTGATCAAAGAGGTGGCAGCAATGGCTCAAGAAAAGCTTGGTGTGTCCTGTGAAGTGATTGATCTGAGGACCATCTTACCCTGGGATACAGAGACCATTTGTAAGGTAAGGAAATGTGTATGTTCCTTTAAAACCACAGCAAAAAAAAAAACCAACCCACTATTAACTGTTGAAATGCAAATAATAATGACTGTTCTTTTTTATTTTTTTTAAAGGCCTACATTTTTGCTCTATATCATATATATTGTTTTGTATTTTTTTGTTCTCTATTATGTAAGAAGAGTAAATGCATGTTACATGGACTAAACATTTGGTTTTGAATTCTGGTTCAGGGTTTAAAATAATGCTAAAATACATCCTGCCGCCTTATCAGAGAGCAAGACTTTGGATTTTGATGTTAAAAACCCCATCCCTGGGTCCTTTGTGGTCAGTACAGGCTGGGATTTTAGTCCTTGGCTTGATGCTGCTTTCAGTCCCTGCACACACACGTCTCCCTTCACATCTTTCTTATCATCCTTAACATACCTTTACAGTTCTCTATGTTATTTTATGATTGTCCCATTCTAGTGGGCAGGGAGTCTTTTCTCACTGCTCGTAGGCTCTAGGGTTGCTCCTAATCCTGTCCCTAACGTTTGGGTTCCCTGTTTTCCATCTTGCTCAGTGTTATGAAGCTTTAATATGGAAATTAAATTTTACAGAACTTGTATACGTTTGGCAGTCTAATGTGTTTTGCTCTGGAGGCTTATTTTATTCTTATGCTTACCCCCAAAAATGCAATTTTATATAGAAATATTTCTATGAATTTTCCTTGTAATTTTCAAACAAGTTCAAGGAGCTTTAGTGGTTGGTGTCGGGGAATGAGCAGGCCTCATAACCTTGACTGAATTCTTAACCATCTTTAGAAACAAAATAACTGTAAAGCTAAAGGTTTCAATACAGCTGTTTAAAAAAGAGACTCTTTATTTAACTGGAAATATAACACAACTTTAATTTGGCAGCTGTGGTGCGGGCATGAAGAAGGATGGGCTGAAGTGGTTAAAGCTTTGGAGATGAGCAGTGATCTGTCAAAAATTTCACTGCAGCTCTTACTGCTTACTCTGCTTTCTGTAGCTGTTTCTATATAGAAAATTACTTGATCAAAATGCATATTTCATAAAACTGTGAGAAGTTATACTTCAAAACCGCCACCAGAGGCCTCTTTTTAGCTGAGTTAAGCAGCTGCTTTGACTTTGCAAAGCTCCTATGAGCATGTTTATGAATATGTAACTCTGAGTGAAACATAAATAAACATAAATAAGAAATATACTGAACATAAATAAAAATTTCTACCTGATTTTACTGCTATTTCTCTGCATTTTTACGATTTTATGTTCAGTTTTGAAATAGGTTAGTGTTTGTCATCTGCATGAGAAGGAGATGAGGGTGCACCTGCACCAGTACAATTGCACCAGTACAACTCCTGGGATGGGTAAATGTGCAAAAAGGGACTAGATTTTTCTTTTGTCAATCTTCAGATGTCTAAGAATAGGTATAGAAGCTTGAGCTAGTTCCAGAAGCTATTCTAGAGAAAGGATATCTCCTGAGGGTCGTTCATCCCAGCTGTTTCAGCAGCCTATTTTGGGATGAGATAAATTGGCCTCTGGAAATGTCTTGGTTTAAAAGATTTTTTTTTTTTTGGTTGGTTTGTTTTTTTTTTTTTAAAGTTAAGGGAGCTCTGAGTGTAGTGTAAAGTCAGGTGAGATAAATAGCACCCTTATTGTATAGCTGAGAGATGACATCTGTGGCTGACAGAAAGGACATAAGAAGTTGGCCTGTTTAAAAAAAGTATCCGATGTCTCTTTGCTAGAATAAAAGCAAAGAATCTGTGTGTGTTTGTATTTATGTAAATATTCTGTGATTCTATGATAATTCTTTGTGCTTTACCTCTCGATGACTGAAAGGCAACTCTCAACAGGCAGCATAAAAAGTTGTGTTGAAGGCTGTTGTTAGATTAATGAGCTTCTTCACTATATATACATTTTCAAAGCACTATGTTATTTCATGGCCAGTGAATCATAGAGTCATAGAGTGGTTTGAGTTGGAAGGGACCTTAAAGATCATCCAGTTCTAATCCCCCTGCCCAGGGCAGGGACACCTCCCACCAGACCAGGTTGCTCCAAGCCCCATCCAGCCTGGCCTTGAACCCCTCCAGGGATGGGGCAGCCACAGCTTCTCTGGGCAACCTGGGCCAGGCTCTCACCACCCTCACAGCAAATAATTTCTTTTTGGTATCTCATCTCAATCTCCCCTCTTTCAGTTTAAAACTGTTACCCCTCATCCTATGGCTCCACTCCCTGATAAAGAGTCCCTCCCCATCTTACCCCACGTGCTAAGAGGTGTTTCATTTGACAATCTTCACTGATTTCTGATTAAAGCTCTTGCTTTGTTCCCCAGGGCTGGAGTATGACTGATAGAGCGGTTCTGATTCAAAGAGAGAGTCGTGAGCTGTCTATAGAGTGGATTACTTTTTTATTTTTTGAGGGAGAGACCTCATTCCCTGTGTTTATTCAGACATCAGCATCCTCCTTCTGTGTGTTTAATCCGTGTATGAAGGAGCAGACTTGCTTGGAAGTTTGGGAGACCTTAGGCCGTGTGGATTTTTCTGTCTGTGAAGGGTTGGGTGGTGTGGTATTGATTTAAAAAGCCAATGGCACAGTTCCCAGTGCTTCCCTGGTCACATCCAGGGTAAAATTCTGTGGTTGTAGTGTTTTTTATATTGAAATGCATGGTGTTACTGGAAGTGGGAAATCTACCTCGGGTTTAAGTACTCTTAAGGGATTGTGGAAATGACTGCATTTTATTCACCCTGAATTGAGCCAAGCATGTTATTTCAAATTTAAATTGATTAATATCAATCTGCCGCTTTCGCTTCTGCAAGTCAAAACTTGCAAATGCACATTTTTGTGCTTTTGTATTATTTACAAGGCTGGTATTTGCCGTGCGTAATGATGATGGTTTGCATTTATTATCTAATTAGCCATTCTGACTTTCTCCAAACTGTTGCTGCTGTCGTGCAAAGAAACACTGAGGCCTTGTGGGTTACTGTGAGCCTGGATAACTGAATTTTGGGAAAAAAGAGTGTTGGTTTTGCAGAAACATAGTTTATGGATTGATATTATCAAATGTAGTAACTCTGAAACTGCTTCTGTGGGATACTCTGCTACAGAGAAGTGAAGGGCTGTGTGTGATGTTTGGTAGACCTGTTGGTCTATCAGCTTGCTCCTCCCATTACTTTGTTTACTTCATCTAATTGGACCATGAATAAAGGAAAATCAAGATCAGTGAGCCTGATGTTCATTAACTGCACTCACCAGGCATCAAATTGTACAGTTGTAATGCAGGTATCCTGGGATCACATTTGTATTTCTTGGCTATCTGTCCTTGATCTTTTGCCATGTGACGTGTTGCTCCTTGGATTTCTTACCGAATGCATCTCGTACCTATAAAATGTGATTAAAGTCATCCTGCTTGCCTGATGACAGTTAACTTGGTCAATCTTTCCATAAGAAGCTTGTGTCTTCTGTTCTTGCAGTTTCAGGTTGCTAGAACGTGCTGTGGGCTGCTGCTTGGCTTCCAGAAGCAGAACACTACAACCGTGTTTGCAGGCAGTCACGTTAAAGCTAGGAGAATATATAACCATTTTAGAAACCAGTTACTTATGTCCTTTGCTCTTCTATATTTCAAGAAAGCTTGGAATGGAAGCCTTGTTGTTTGTTCCTGCGCATCATCTTGTTTCAGGAGAGTAGCTCAAGCCGAGGCATTTGTGTAAATGCAATACTATATTCTATTTTTCTCCTTTCTCCCTCCCAATATAACAATAGTTCTCAATCTTTAAATTCCCACATCTGCTTTTCACGTATGTATTGATAAGTGTTACTTTAGAAAGAGCCTGGTTATTGAAAACTTTGATTAAATGGAGAAAAGGCATTTGTGTGTAGCTTCTGTTCATCAATTTCTCATAAAACCTTTTCCCTTTTCCCCACATTCCGTATTACAAGCTTTAAATTTAAAAGCACTCGCCCAAATAAGTAAGTAGTGGTGTGTAGTCTAGAGTTAGCAGTAATTTTATAGCTCCAGTATGTGTTTATATTTCTTTTGTTTTCCATTGCAACTGGTGCTGATTGAGTTCTAATGGAAGTCGGGATGAAGTTCCACATTGGTAATCATATATGAATCATTGTTCCATAGAGATAATTATTACTTCTCTACAGTATTGCCTGTCTTTAAATGTCTGCAGCTATTTATCCTGCTATTATCACTTAGTTGAGCCAGCTACTCTTTTAAACTACTTTTTTAGGATTCAAATGCTATAGATTTTTATTATTTGTGCATTATTAACCTTTACCCTGAGGAAATGTACTTTCAAGTATTTCTGCAATACTTTTGTAAATTTAAAGATAATGTTGAAATTTGTGATGCTAAGATTTAAATTTCTTTTTACTGAATTATTGTGTAATAGCATATGCATTTTCTAATAACATAATGCATTCTATTTGGCTTATTGTAAGTATTTTTCTTTTCACTCTGAGCTTTGAAGGCAATCTGAAATGCTTGTAATACACACATGGGCTGTGTAGACTCTTGTAGAGTGCAGAGATTTCCAAATGTAAATGTTTGATATTTTGTTTTTAATAAGATCATCTTTGTTTTTCATTAAGTTAGTTCACCATTAAGATATTTACCAAAGGTCTTAGAGCTGTACCTGGTAGGATGACAGGCTAAAAGCTGACCTGATAGGTATATTCATTAGAATTAGTTTTCATTATATTATTGCTTTTTTGAGTGCTACTGATGAGGGACTGGACAAACGATTTATCTTCCCTCCTGTCTTTGTTTTGTGCTAAATAGTGGACTGCTTTAATTTTCAGTCTGCCACACAACAGTGCTCACCAAAATAGAAAGGTTTGATTTACTGGATATATGTTAAGAAGATCTTTATTAATATTTTTAGCAGATGGAGACTGAGCTGATCTGAAAAAACCTTGCAATTTGCTTATTTGTTCTTTGTATGTAACTTCACTGTCCTGAAATCTGTGATAATATTTCACTTAATATGATAGGACAGA